GAGAGAGAAGGATGGAGAAAGGGAGAGACAGAGAAAGAGGTAGAAAGAACAAGGGGAGGAGAAAGAAGGGGAGAGGGAAGGAAAGAGGGAGATAAGGAGAGAAAAAAGGGAGAGAGGAGGGGAGAAAGGAGGAAATGAGTGAGGAGTAAGGGAGAAAGGAGAGGGAGAGATAGGAAAGAAGGAGAAAGAAGGAGAAGGGGGAGGGAGAGAGAGGGAAAAAAAGACTAAGAAAGAGAGTGGAGAGAGAGGGAGGGAGGAAATGAGAGTGACAGTGAGAGGGAGGGATGGATGGAAGGAGAGAAAGAGAGAGATGGAGAGGGAGAGTAAGAGAAAAGGAGGGGAGAAACAGAGGGAAGGAAGGAGGGAGGAGGAGAGGGAAACAAGAGGAGGGATGGATGGGGGAAAGGGAGAGGAAGAAAAAGAGGGAAAGACAGGGAGAAAAGGACAGAGAGAAAGAGGAAAAAGAAAAAGAAGAAAGAGAGGGAGAGGGAGGGAAGGAGAAACAAAGGAGGAAAGGGGGAAAGGGAAGAGACCGAATGACAGAGGAGAATGAGTGAAGGAGAGGGAGAGGGGAAAAGAGAGAGTAGAGAAGAAGGGAAGAAAAAGGAAGGAGAGTCAGGGAATGGAAGAGGGAAAGAAGGAAAGAGAAGGAGAAAGGAAAAAAGAGAGATGAAAACAGAGAAAGGAAGAGAGAGGAAGGGAGCAATGGGGGGAGAGCAAAAGAGAGTGAAAGACAAAGAGGAAGGGAGAGAGTGAGTACTGAAAGGGAGGAATAGATAAAGAAAGAAAAGAGAGGGAGGAAAAAAAGACTGAGAGGGAGGGAAGGATGAATAAGGTAGAGAGAGATAGGGAGGGGAAGAAAAGAGGAGAGAAAAAGAGAGAGACAGAGAGGGAGGGAGAGAGGAGGAAGAAAGAAAAGAGAAGGGGACAGAGATGGGAGAGGAGGGATGGAGGGAGAGGGAGAGATGATAGATAGAGGGGGAGAGGGAGGGGAAGAGAGAAGAAACAGAGAAGAGAGAGGGGAGAGAAAGAATGGAGGAAAAGAGAGAGAGAGGACAGGGAGGGCTAAAGAGGGAGGAGGGAGAGAGGGGACAATGAGATAGGAGAAAGGGAATCAAAAGAGAAGGAGGGCTGGAATGGGAGGAATGGTTGTAGAGAGAAAGAAAGAGAGAGAAGGAGGAAGTGAGGGACAGAGGAGAGATAGAAAGGAGAGAAGGGGAAAGGGAGGGAGGAAGGGAACGAGGGAGAGACAGAGAGAGGGGGAGAAGGACTGAATCAGGGAGACAGAGCGACAGCAGATTAATAGGACTGGACATGTAGAGCCTCTATCAGCTTGCAGGCCATCTTGGGAAGAGTGGAAGGGAGGGAGGGAGAAAAAAATTTGGAACTCAAAACATTATAAAAGCAAATGCTAAAAACTACCTTTATGTGTAATTGGAAAAAAAATGAAATACTATTACGTAGGGGAAAAAGGAAAGAGGGAGAGAGGTAGGGAAGGAGAGAGATGTAAGAGAGAGATGGGGGAGAGAGAAAGGGGAAGGAGAAAAAGGGGGGGGAGAGGAGGGAGAGAGAGAGAGAGAGAGAGAGAGAGAGAGAGAGAGAGAGGAGAGAGAGAGAGAGAGAGAGGAAGAAGTAAGGGAGAGGGAGGTCAGAAGGGGAAGGGAGGATGAGTGGGGAGAGGGAAAGATAGAGGGAGAGACAGAGGAGGAGAAATGGAGTGAGGTAGAGAGACAGGGAGAGAGAGAAGGGGAGACAGAGAGGGAGGAGAAGAGGGAAGAAGGAGAAAGAAAGAGGGAAGACAAAGCAAGAGAAAGGATGGGGGAGGGAGAGATGAGGGGGAGGGACAGAGAGGGAGAGAAGGGGAGAGAGAGAAAGAAAGAAGGGGGAAGAAGACAGAAAAAGGGAGAGAGGGGAAGGGAAGAAGGAAAAGATGGAGGGAGAGAAGGAGGGAGAGAAGGAGGGAGAGAAAGAGGAAGAAAAGAGTATGGGAGAGAGAGGAGGGGGGAAAGGCGGAAGGGACAGAGAAGGGAGAAAGGAAAAAAAGAGGGAGGGAGAGAGGGAGGAGGGAGGAATGAGGAAAAAGGGATGGAGAGAGACAGACAAGGGTAAGAGAGAGAGTAGGGGAAAGGGGGAGAGAAAAAAGGAGAAGGATAGAGGGGACAGAGGGAAGAGAGTGAGGGAGGGAGGGAGAGAGGGAAGAGAAAGATAGAAAGGCAGGCCAGCAGAGAAGGGGGAGAGAGGAGAGAGTGAAGGGAGGATGGAGGGGGAGAGGGAAAAAAAGGAAGAGGGAAGAAGAGAGAAGAAGGAATGAAGGGAGAGAGGGGGAGAGAAAGAGGGAGACAGAAGAAAGAGGGAGAGAGAGGGAACAAGGGATAGAGAGAGACAGAGAGGTAAAAGGAGTGAGAAGGAGAGAAGGGAGAGTGAGAAAGAAGGAAGGAGAGAATGGGGGAGGGAGGGATGGAGAGAGAGAGACAAAGCAAAGGAGAGAGTGAGGGAGAGTGAGAACAGATAGGAGAATGGAAAGAGGGAGTGGAAGGAGGAAGAGGGAAGGAAAGAGAGAGACTGGGGGAGGAATTGAGAAGGGAGAGAGAGGGAAAGAGAAGACAGAGAAGGAAGGAAAAGTAGGGGGGACAGGAAAAGTGAGAGAGACAGAGAGAGAGAAAAGGAGGAGGAGGGAGAAAAGGAGGGAGAAAGACAGGGAGGTCAAGAGAAGGAGGGGAGGGGCAGCTAGGTGACACAGTGGCACTGGCCCTGGAGTCAGGGGGACCCGAGTTCAAATCCGGCCTTAGACAGGGAGAGAGTAAAGAGGTGGAAGGGAGAGAAAGAGAGAGGGATGGAGTAAGGGAGGGAGAAAGAGACAGAGGGAAGGAAAGATGGGGGAAGGAGGTGGGACAGAGGAAAAGGGAGAGGCAGGGAGGGGGGCAGCTGTGGGGGAAGGAGAACAAAAGAATGAGAGAAAAAGGAAAAAGAGATTGGGGGAGGGAGAGGGGAAAGAGCAAGAAGGAAGAGGGAAGGAGTTAGAGAGAAGGAAGGAAAAAAGAAAATAGAGAGGGGGAGAGAGAGAGAGGAAGTGAGAGAGACAATGATAGGGATGGAGAAAGAGACAGGGAAAGGGAGAGGAGAGATGGAGGGAGGATGGCGGAGAGAAGGACAGAGAAAGAGAGAGGGAGGGATAGAGAAAGAGAGACAGAGAGAAAGCAAAAGAGAGAAAGGGAAAGAAAAGGGAAGAGAGAGTGTGTGAGGGACAGAGGAGAGTGAGGGAGAGATGGGGAAGGGAAAGAAAGGGAGAGAGGAGAAAGGGGAAAACAGGGAAGGAGAAGGGAGAAAATAGGAAAGGAGAGAGGGAAAGAAGGGGAAAGAGAAAAAGGCAGAGAGGGAAGGAAGGAGGGGGAAAGAGGGAGGGAGGAAGAGAAACGGGGGGAAGGAGGAGGAGGGATGGAGATGGGAGAGAGATAGGAAAGTGAAGGGAAGAAGGAAGGGAGAGATACAAAGGGAGAGGGACAGAGAAACAGGAAGGGGAAGGGGAAGAGAGGGAGAAAGGGAGGGGAGACAGAGAAAGAGGGAGTGTCGGAGAGAGGGAGAGAAGGGAGAGAACCAGTGAAAGAGAAACAGAGAGAGGGAGACGGAAAGACATAGGAGAGAGGAAGAGAAAAAGAGGAGAGAAGAGAACTAGAGGGATAAGTGGGGGGAGAGGGCAGGGAAAAACAGATGGACTCAGAGAAGAGGAGACAGAGGCAGGAGGATGGAGGAACAGACAGGGGGACAAGTTGAGAGGCAGAGCGGCCAGGAGGGCAGCTTTGGCCCCAATGAGTCTGAGGTTCCCACGGGCAATCCCGCACAGTGACCAGTGGTAGGCAGGTGCTCATGCAAGGACCATGCTCAGGGTGGTGACCAGGGCCAGAGATGAAGATTTGGGACTCAGAAACCAGAGGCTCCTAGATCTTCAAGGGACTTAAGAGGCCACTGAGCTGGGCCCCCCCCCCCCATATTTTACAAAACAGGAAACTGCTCTGTCCATGGCCACCCTCTCTATGGAGGTGATAACTGATACCTTAATTCCAAGTACCTTAGATCCACAATGAGGGGAAGAAGAGAGGCCCAGAAACAGGAGAAACGGGAAGGTAGAGGCCAGGCCTTAAAAGCTGCCGGAGCTCCGGAAGCAGAAACCCCCAAGTGCAGGGCACCCCCTTAAAGCACTTCCCAGCTCCAGGAGGAAAAGGCAGAGGGGGCAGGCAGGGTCTCAGAAGGCACGAAAGGTAGTTTTTATTTTCAATGCCTCGGAAAGAAAGGGAGCAGGGCCTGTGACAAGAGCCTGGGGTGGGGGATGGCCTGGTTCTGTGACACTCATCCAGAGGGCAATAGTGACAGAGCTGAGCTAAGAGCCTCTGGTTCTAGTGACCTCAGGTCTCCTAAATCCCAAACAGAAAAGTAAACTACAGTCATCCCTTTCACATCTCGACTTTCCCCATTGTGGGCGAGTCCATATGAGAAATTAGATGGGAAATTCTGGGGTTTTATAGAAGCCACAGGTGACATGCAAAGCTCAGCAGATGATACAGAGCCTTCGACCAAAAACTTAACCCAAATTTTACAGTGAGGTTCTGTAAACACCCCATAAGAGAAAAAGAAAAAATTCAGACTTCTTCTCTGGTATGAAGGGTGAGCCAAAACATTTTCCTCAAATCTTCCAGGTCACAGGGCCCTGTACGCCGAGCCCCCAAGATGTGGAAAGGATAACTCATGCTTAAATGATAAAATAATGAAAGAAGGGGCTGAGGATCCCAGGGCCCTTCAAAGCTGGCTAGGACAACCTGATCATTTTTACAGATGAGGAGCTAAGGCTCAGAGAAGTCAGAAGTCATCTGGTCTCACTGTCATTTTACATATGAAGAAACTGAGGGACACGGAGGTTGACCACAGTGGACTCGGAAGCCCACAGTCCCCCCACTGTGCTCTGCTGCCTTGACTAGGGAAGGGGCATGCAAGCCAAATGGCCTTACCTCCCACTGCAGGTGAGGGGGGATGTTCCGAATCTGAAGCTTCCTGCTCCTGCAAAGAAAAAACAGAGATTGTAACACTGTCTACAGCACGCAGCTCGGCAGGGGCAGCAGTGTTCATGTCTGGTGCTCCCCACTTTGGGCTCTGCAGCACTGTGCAGCTGGGGTGGGGGCTCCTGCTTTTTTTTCCACCTAACTTTATTTTAGATTCCAAACTTAACATACACCAAGTAAAACGAGCTTTTCCTTCAGCCTTGTGGACCAGAAGGAGAGGCTGGACCATTAATCTGCACATCTGTCACCCACAGCCTACTTTTCAAAGGTACAGTAAATTCAACAACTAACTTTCAGTGCCGTCCTGCAGGCCTGTGACACCTTCTGTTCTCTTCTCACGTTTGGAGGGGGTGGAGGAAGAATCCCACCCCCCACACTGCTCTACCAAGAACTGAACAAAAGTTCCACAACTGAATAAACCACACACCCCCGCCTCCCACTGAAATGAAAGAAAAATGAAACTTTGGGCATTATTCCACCCCATTTACAGATGAAGAAACGGAGGGTCAGAAAGGTTAATTGACCCGTTCACAGTTATAAGACTGGTAGATCTGAGGCAAGATTTGAACCCAGGTCTTCCTGATCCCCAAGTTCAAGTTCACTTCTCTTTCTACCTTAATGCTCCCCCCCTTATTAATAATTAGGCACCATTCAGCTCAGAGGTGCAGCCTTCCATGTGGTTCACCAAACAAGTCACCCGCCCCTTGAGGTCCGCTGCAAGCATCACATTTCAAACCCACAAGACAACACAAGAGAACATTTCCTGGAAGTCGGACCTAAAAGAAGGCGCAGCCTGGACGCACACGAGCTTCTCCCTCGGCTGCCAAAGCCTGGGGAACAAAACCGCCCGTCAGCTTGGTGGACGTTGCCCGTCTGCCTCGGGACAGCAGCCACACTCTCCCCAAATCCACTGTGGCGGCCTCAGTTCATGAGAGATGCTTGCACTGCAGATGAGAAAGAGGGAGACAGAGAGACAGAGAAAAAGACAGAGGGAGAGATGGCGAGAGGAAGGGAAGGAGGGAGAGAGACAGAGAGATGAAGAGAGAGAAAGAAGGGAGGGCGAGACAGAGAGAGATGGAGGGGAGAGGGAAAGAAGGGAGAAGGAGAGAGAAGTAGGGACAGAGAGACAGAGGAGGAGGCAGAGAGAGGGGAGAAAGGGGGAGGGGGAAAGAGAGGGAAAGAAGGAGGAAGAGAGAGAAGGAAAGGGGGGGAGGAGAAGGGAAGGGAGGAGGGGGGAGAGACAGTCAAAAGGGAGAGGGGAGAGAGGGAGGAGAGGGATGTTTTGAGCCAAGTAATAAGTGGATGAGTGAGTTCGTTACCTGGCTGGAGGGTAGACACAAAATCAATTTACTTCTAGAATTCTGACTTTTCAAAAGCAGAGATGGACCATATTGGCCTTGATATGGTTTCCTGCTTCTCTCTAAGACACAAAACTGGTTTGGAAAAGAGCAGAGCTGGAAAGAAAGGGTTGTAACCAAACCTCAGTGAAACAATTTGTCTCCGGCCTCTCCCCCACTGCTGGAGGGAGCTCCAGCCTCTCTCCTGTCCGGCGCCAGTAATCCCAAGCAACCACTTCTACTGCATTTAATTAAGAAATCCAAGATTCGAACCCCAGCCACAAGTCTCCAAATGCCACACTCTATCCACCACATTGCCTTCGTTTTGTTTTGTTAAACAGAAGAGGCATAAACAAAGATCATTTCCCCAAATAGCAGTGATCCCTTTTAGAACAATTCCATAGTCACATCAGAAAGTGAAGGACGCAAGGAGAGAAACAAAGAACAACGACCTTGGCAGCGACAAACCCTGAAATCAAATTTCAGCTCTGCCGTGCGTCACCTGTGGTACCTTGGGCAAGTCACTTAACTTCTGTGGGACTCAGTTTCCCTCTCTGTACAACGAGGGGGTTGGATGGGATGACCTCCAGCTTGGTTCTAGGCCTCACTTTCGCTGATTTGGACAAGACTATCAAAGGATTAAATGCTCTCCCAGACCAGAACTGGGTGCCTATTAAGCACCTGGCCCAGCCCCTCTGGAAACCAGCAACCTCGTGAGATCTATCTGGACGGTCAATCTGTGAAAGAAGCCAAGTGAGGCTGCCTCATCCCCAACACCCCCCTGGGGTCCCGCCAGGGAGGGGACACCGTCTGGCCTTGGTGGGGCCGTCTGCAGCTCGTCCAGATCTGTTGGGACTGAAGAAATCTGAGTCTCTCTCTTGACTCTTTTTGCCAAAAGAGGAACAAAATTATCAGAGAGACAAATCTCTTTCCCATGCATGAGACTGACTCAGTGCAGAGCCTGGCCCTGCCCAGATAACCTGGGCTCAGCGTGGACAGATCAGTTTGATCACTTTCTAAGAAACTTGAATTCTTCACTACACAAAACTTACTTGAGACTCCTTTATTAATGAAATGTACTGTACTAATGAAACAATTCATCATTAATTATAGCCTGCTATTTCCGTGACAATGCTAGGGCCAATGTTTGATTCAAAAAGACCTGGATTAAGTCTCACTTCTGATCCACCCTGGCTGTATGACCCTGGGCCAGTCACCCTTCTCAGGGACCTGGCCAGTGCTCTTCTAAGGTTCTAAGTTGCCAAGATGGAGCACACCCATTGTCACCCATTAGTAAAGGAAGTTCCCTCTCCCAGTGACATAACAGATTCGGGCCCATTTTATCCCAAGTTTCTGATAAGAAGAAGCCCCGCGGGGAGAGAGGGCTGGCCTCAGAGTCAGAAAACCCTGCTTCTGTCACATACAGGCCCGAGTTAGCGGCCGAGAAGACCTTCATCCCCATTGGTGGAGGGAGACTCCTCACTGGGAGTTCTCTAGACTGAGGAAATCTCAGGTCTGGGCACCCAGGCCCCTTCCCCAAACCCTCTCCATAGATTCAAAGCTGACAAGGACTTGGGACGTCACAGAGTCTAAGCCCCTTTGTACCCGGGCTTTCCTCTGCTCAGGAGCTCCCTAAGGGTCATCTCCCTCCACTAATACAGGTCAGCACCTTCTCTGCCCCGTGAACTCCTCAAGGAGTGCCTGCGTCTTGGCCAGGGTCCCCCAGACTGCAGGACCCCCAGGTGGGCCACCTTTCTCTCCCCAACCCCTGGGGCTTCTCTCTCCTTTATTTCCAAGATGACCAGATGGAGGCCAGGGATTAAGCTGGCAATCGAGTGCCTGAGGTCCCACACATTGGACATGGCAGAGCTGGAATTTGAACCTCCCAGTCTGACACTCTTTCCGTCAGACCTCCCTGAGGACTCTCCCCCTTGACTGGAGCGACTCTCGAGGCCCTGAGACCCCTTACGCATCCTCTTCCTCTTTTCCTCTTCGCTCTCCCAGGTGAGCGCTGAGATGAGATGCTGAGCTCCAGGACGTCGTCGACTAATGTTGGCCTTGGCTGGGGAACTGTGCGGTCCAATACTCCGTCATCAATGAGCAAATGCACACACCACAGCTCCCAATCCATCGGTCAGTATTTATCAAGCAGCTCCTGGATGCCAAGTCCTTGTCCATCGCTGGGGATGCAGAGGGAAGACTGAAGCAGCGCCTGTGCCTGCCCACGGGAAGCTTACATCCTTAGGGAAAAAGCATCGATACATAGAGATACAAGACACATACAGAGTAGACATGAGGGAAGTGGGGTTGGAGGAGGCGCTAGCTGCCAGGAACTTAGGAGATGGCGCGTAGAAGCCTGAAAGAGAAGAGCGAGGTGATTCTAGGCAACTTCTCTGTGCCGGCCTCTGGGGCTACAAACAGGCCCTGCCCTCAAGGAGCTTACATTCTGGGAAGAGGACTAGGGAAGGGCACTGGGCCAGGTCCTAAGAGGAGGAAGTAAAGTAGGCAGTCAGGTATTTTAGGCTTAGGGGACCATCTGTGCAAAGGCTTGGAGATGAGAGATGACATCATGGGTAACATGATTCACTCTCTCCAAGGGTTGGTGCAGCAGAAACAGGACTGGCCAGAGAGTCAGAAGGTCTAGGTTTAAGACCCATCTCAGCCCTCTACCAGCTGTGTGACCGTGGGCAAGTCACTTGCCCTTCTCCACGGGGAAAAGGAGGGGGTTGGACCAGATGACCTCTGGAGTTCCTGCCAGCTCTGATATTCTAGTAGGCACCAAGAACCTCAGGATCTGGCAAGTGCCCCAGGGCGCCATCCCTGCTGGTTCACTTGGCTCCCGCCTGGCCTGATTGAGTGCTGCCTCCAGGTGCCACCAGCTGGCGCCACTTTAAAAAAAAATTGGAAATGAATTCTAATACAGAAAATGAAAACAACATTTTATAAATGCAGAGCTCAGAGGGAGCATTTCTAAATGCTTATCCACCCAAATTTAAAAACAAAAGAGTCACCAAGATAATGCAGTTGGGGAAACCAAAGGGCTTGGCAGGGGCCTACGTGATTAAAAGGCCCCTTGCCTCTCCTGGCTGCCCTTCCGCTGGGAGAATTCTCATCTGCAAAATACAGCACCTGCTTCAGGGAGGCTCTACCCAGTTAATGGGGCTGCCAGGTACCTGAATACTAACTGACCCAACTCTTCTCAGCCGTGGCAAAGCTCACTCCTAGGACTTCCCAGGGCTAGGCCAAGCTCTATTATCAACCAAGAGTCTGGCTACAACTGGAAATAAGTAGGTCTTCATTTAGGGTTGAGAAATCTTTTTGATCCGCTGAGGTTTGTCCTAACCGTTATCGGCAGCGACATCATACTAGCAAGATGCCCCGTCCCTCCCTCCCCAACCACCACCAACCCAGCACTCGTTAGGTGGGGGAGCCCCCAAACAGACAGCTGTGGACTAGCAGCCAGCTAAACAGCTATGGGGCCCCATAGCTACCCAGCCTAAAAGATCACGTCGGGGGCATGGGTTGAGAGCTATCCTGCGGGTCCATTCTGGATTCTGAACAGATTCTAGGGTCCAGAAGGTCCCCTCACAATGTCTGATGCCCAGGCACTTGGTGGGGAAAGAAGTCAGTGTGAGTCAACTCTTCCTGTATTCACTGAGGG